ACCGTGAGCTGTTGCAAATCATCCAGTGATTTCAACATGGGCTGAGCAGCCTTTAACACATGCTCTTGTATCCCGCAAATTGTGTCGTCCAGCTTCACAGCTTGGACTTGGACTTTGAATTTGCCGTTGTGTTTGACAGTTTTCCACTTGTCTCTCAGTGAAGGCTGTAGCCTTGGAGCTGCAACTACTTCGAGCTGCTCAGCATCCAACTTGTGTGGCTTCTCTGCCTCCATAAACTCCTTGTCCCTCCAAGTCTGGCATCTCTGCCTTTTGAACCAGTTAAAAACTGGTTGGGAAATGCGAACCCCTGCCTCGCAAGATCGGAAATCCTGCAAAAATGCAGGCTGATCCAAAGTAGGGTTGGGACATAAAAGAGAAGTCTCCGCTGGGAGACTTACATTATCATTCTCATCCAGGCTCTCAGAACCAGAGGCTGGATGTATGCTTAAGGAATCATCATTATGGGATTCCAGTCTGGAGGATGTGCCCGGACTGGCAGATAGACTGGCAGTGGGCTGCTGGTTGGCTTTCCGACCGCGGCCGGCAGCTTGGCTGGCAGCCGGGATCGCCTTCTTCCTCCTTATAGCCTTAAAGGGTGAACGGGAACGTTCCCGAAAACGGTCTGCATAGGTCCGTATAAACCTATGTTTAGAGCGAGAACGTCGGCCATGATCAGAGTCCTCGCTGGTGGAAAACGAGTCTTGCTCGGAAACTATGGGTTGAGAAACTTGTTCTCTGGCAAAGCCCTGTGCCTGTAGGGACTGGGCTACAGCTTGTGACACCATGCTATTGATGTGTTGGAACAAAGCTGCGTTGTCAATGACAAAATTCTGGCCAAAAGGTTGAGACCCTTGGCCACCTGGCTCAGTCCTTGGCGGCACAAGAGTGGCACCAAGAAACCCGCCATGTTGTTGTTGTTCGCCCAAGGGCGAGAGCGCCGCGACCGAGGTCGACGCTACATATTTCGACATATCCACCAAACTAGCGGTTGTTTGCAACACAGCCGCAGTGGTGGAAACCACAGACGTGACTGGAGTAGTCATGTCTAAGAACTCTCACCAGAAAGGCAAAAATGCTCAAGAAAAAGCAAGAAAATTTCAAGAGCGAAAAATTGTACCTACCGCCTTAGCGAGCAACAATGAGAGAGAACGAAACCGAGGCTGAATGGGGCATTCTGGGTATTCTTTCTTCTAATCTTGACTGTAAAGTGCTGCCGCCTAGCGTCCTAAATGAGAACGCCATATATTCTGGAGATGCGATGGATAATATTGAGCTGTACTATGTAGGTTGAACTTTGCCTTTGGTAGGAAGTGTCATAGTTCAGTAGTAGTTGGGTCATGATGATGATTATGATTATGATAACAAAACAATTAAATTTTTGTTTTGACATTCAGATCTAGTATAAACATGCATTTATACGTGAAAGCTTCGAAAATGTAAAACGAATAACTCATTGCTTAGCTAGATTAGACACATTAACACATAGAGTATCGACAACAAAGCCGGACGTCAACCTACTTATATAATAAGTAACGTTGAGCATAATAAATAAATAATTTTTATATCAGTGTTTTTAGAAAACACTAAACTTTTCTTCAAATTTCTAGCTGTGTGTCATTGTTGTTAGATGACTTGGGCTTCGAGAAGGTTTTACCCTAAGGTTCATCTCGAAATATCACCAACACGTCCTGGTTTGGTGTATTTCCGGGCCTTTTTTTTACTCAGGTACCATTTGTGTAGTCATCTGACCCCACCCCCTCACATGATCATGATACTACACCGCTACATTCTAACAGTACCTGACGAAAACAACAGGTGAAGATGGCGCTAGCAAAACTCACAGTCACTTTCGTGTGTGTCAATTGACCTGAGCTTTCTCCGGGAACCGCCAAACCGGACTTGCAGGGCGCGAGATCTCTTTAAAAGCTTCTTATTTGGGTCCGAAGTTCTTCCTCTCGACTTGGACGGAGCGCCATGTTGGCTCTTAGAAAGGTACGGCGCAAGTCTGGCGACCTTTGACCGAGGGGAGGGAATCGATTTAGAACATATCAATAATTTATAGGGGAGAAAAGTATTAGTAAAAGCTTTATATTGTACACTTTTTAACAGGAGATTGTTTAGGCATTTTTATCATGAAGGGCAAGAAATGTTAGATCGCAAAAAGGTCAGCAATCTGACCAATCAAACAGCGACTTTCTCTATCAGCCAATCAGATGCCTGAACGGCGCCGATTTGGCGCGTGTTTTGTCTGCATTTCCGGCCCGCAGGACGCTGCCGGAGGTGTGCTCAGGCGGCTGTCCAAACTGTGTCTTCTAAGGAAAAGAGTTGTGTCCACTACAACAATGTTTGGGAGGAGAAGTGGCCTGTTTTCTGCCATTCATGAGCGTCGGGTATGGGGAGCCTCGGACAGGCATGGCGTGAAAGGTGGGCTCTCGTCAGGGACTCTATATTATTCTTATATATTATTCTTCCTAAACCATGAAATATCGTGTATATATATCCATATAAATAGGTATGTAACGTTATATTCAGTGGAGAATATTTTTTTCTATATACATGTATATATATATATATATACAGGCTTTTCACATGCGCCATGTTGGATTACAGTGAATGTCTGTTAAACTTGCCAACATGCTGCTACTTAATCAATTTACCCGCCAACACCTGGTCACCGGGATTCATATGGTAATTATCATGACGTCAATGAAAAGCCTCTATAGCAGAATTAAACAGCTGATATTCCCCGGCTTGGTCAAAGCCACGTCGTAGATATAGATAAATCGACCATGATGATGTAAATTGATATGTGTTAGCTCATTCATTTCTGCTGAAGTGAAATAATTATCGTTGGGTAATAATACCTTATTGCAGGAAGCACAAGAGGAAAGTTGGACAGTGTCATCAGTGGGTTCGTGTGTACCCGAGGGGACGAGTATGTCATGGAGGACCAGGTAGCAGGTCGTTTCCTCGTCACGTCTTTTCCCCGTCACGTCTCTTCCCCGTCACGTCTCTTCCCCGTCCACCCCCATGAAACTCCTTCCTCTTCGCCCCCGCCGTTCTGCTTCGCCCCCGCCCCGTTCTGCTTCGCCCCCGCAAAAAAATCTGCTTCGCCCCCGTCGTTCCTCTACGCCCCCGGCGCAATTCTGCTTTGCCCCCGTCCTTCTGCTTAGCCCCCAATGGCGGCACAGCTCACAGTCGACACGAAAATCGTCTGCAAAATAACAATAAAGGCTGTGCCGCCAAATTTAAAGTAGCCCATGCTCCGGCAAACATTCTGGACCACCTTTCTGCCAAGTGGCGTTGCACAAATCCTTCCCATTCAAAAGTTTACCCCTACCTCACGGCCCGTCAGTGGTTCTTACGTTTATAAGTACTGGCGGGAAATTTCACTCACGGCTGTACTTATAAACGCCAGTACTTATAAACGTAAGAACCACTGACGGGCCGTGAGGTAGGGGTAAACTTTTGAATGGGAAGGATTTGTGCAACGCCACTTGGCAGAAAGGTGGTCCAGAATGTTTGCCGGAGCATGGGCTACTTTAAATTTGGCGGCACAGCCTTTATTGTTATTTTGCAGACGATTTTCGTGTCGACTGTGAGCTGTGCCGCCATTGGGGGCTAAGCAGAAGGACGGGGGCAAAGCAGAATTGCGCCGGGGGCGTAGAGGAACGACGGGGGCGAAGCAGATTTTTTGCAGGGGCGAAGCAGAACGGGGCGGGGGCGAAGAGGAAGGAGTTTCATGGGGGTGCGTCAGTGTGGACGTTTCCCCGTCGGTGTGGATGTTTCCCCGTCAGTGGTTACTGTCCCCCCAAGTTGTGTTCAATTTAAGATGAAATTATGTTACTATAGGTGATTACATGTGATAGTCAACGTATTATCAGCGTTCAGCTAGTAATTTTTTTTCAATTTTGACAAATTTTACAGACTTACAAGCCGACAGATTTGCAGCGGCGGGACGCCTGGTTTCCCCGCCGTAACACAGCGCCGGATGCAGTGTCAAGTTGGAGATTTCAGCGCCTGTTTGCTTCAAAATATGCTTAACAGAACCCATGTAATTACTTATGTTTAAATGTTTTCAGTCGTAGATATGCGGCAAGGTTACTATGTTGTTGGAAGGTCGGCATACAGACGTGACAAACACCATTTCCTTTTTTTATTCCCTCCACAGGGAACGAGTAGCCCTTCAGCGACAGGCTTCTGCAAAGGTACGTTTTTTGCTCGCAAGATTTTAAGTTACAATGTCTTAATACAAACATCTCCCCCCACCACTCTTCTCCTGCCACCGTTGGTTGTGGACGACTTGAGTAATCCTTATTACCTTCGCCAAGAAGGTTATGTTTTCAGGGGCGTTCGTGTGTGTGTCTGTCTGTAAACACGATAACTTGAGAAGGTCTTGATGGATTGTCTTGATACTTGGTAGGTGGGTAGGTCTTGATGAGACCTCAAAATGATTAGATTTTGGGCCACCTGGCAGCTTGTCATGGTACTGCAGCAGAACTTCCGGTTTTGATATCTCATGATCCAGACATGCTAGGGTGACGAAATTTAGATGGTAGATAGCTCTTGTGCTGGGGATAAAGTGACCTGAGTTTGAGCCCCCTAGTTGCTTGCTCTAGAACTGCAGGGGGGTTTAATGGACACATGTTTAAAGGGGGATAACTCAAGAACCGATGGATGGATCATCGTGATTTTTGGTATGTAGGTAGCTTGAGTGATGATATTATAATTATGCAAATATGGATGTAATTTGCATAATTAATGAGGAAATTCTATTTGTCAGCTGCATTCCATAATAGGAA